ATGTCACGGTTCAGAACTGTTCAATATTTAGAGGAGAAGATGTGTAAGCGGCCGGATAGCTCAGTCCCTGGTTCGAGTTTCGGTCAGCATATGACATATTTTTATACACAAAATTAAAATTTGAATCATCAGCGGATTTCATAATTGAAATAAAACTTTTTCAGTATAAGAATATTTTGATTATCTGTGCAAAGTTAAATGTCAAAGGTGATTTTACTATCAATATATTATTTATTATGTTCTTAACTAGATTTAAAAAAAAACTGCGACAATTTTCATTTTTGAAACTGAAAATTTCTAAATCAAAAACTGTTTCCAAGATATCTGTCAAAACATATTTAATTATAACCAGGGTGCAAATATTTAATTTACATAGTACGGATATGTTTCCTTATTTAAACTTTGAAGTCATAAACGCTGTTAAAGTCATTAATTATGCAGAAACACGAGTGATGAAGATGAAGATAATTTCCAAGAATAATTTGACATCATCTATCAACAATACATGTACATACACCACGGTGATTTCCGTCTGTTTCTAGCTTGAACACCTTCAAATTACATTGTTGGATCTGGAGGCAGGGTACTGCAGATAGAACTTACTTGTTTCTTGTTTTAAATGACGAATTCTGCCAGATAAAAAATAACAACACGACGCTGCAAAAACATTGGAAAATTATACGACATATATGTCAGTTTCATTTTAATATGTCAGTTTAGAGTCTTTATAATAGCTGGAACAAAATCAGACAGGTTAATCTTACAAATATTGACGTCAGAATTTCAATGTTTTACTTCTTTGATAAAGGAAAACGTTTCACATAGAGACCAAGTTATGGGCTCCAATTTAATTCCTTATTTCTTATATGATTAACAGCGAAAATTACCGTTGATACATTCAACAAAAAATGCACAAATTTACTTAATTGGAAAAAAAACGACACTCGTTATACCCTGCTGCGTTTATGATCCATATCCGTCCTTAATCAGTGTTGACTTCGATTATCGCAATAAAGCACGTGGCTATTTCATAATTCATAAGATTTCTTTTCCATATTCAAGCAAATAATGTGTACAAAAACGCAACCCTTTATGTTTCCTGGAAAAAAAAATGATTAAAACAAAAGATTAAATAAATAAATAAATAAATGATTAAATAAATAAATGATTAAATAAATAAATAAATAAATGAATGAATGAATGAATGAATGAATGAATGAATGAATGAATGAATGAATGAATGAATGAATGAAATATCATTGTTGTTTTTTTTAACATTTGCAAGTATTATATTATTTGTAAGAGATATATAAACATAAAATTTATATACTGTGTGGACATATCAATAACTATAACAGCATTTCTTTAATCCACGAATCACGAAATAAACAACAAATAATTTTATATATACGGTATACGAAAGACCGGTGGGAACATTTACGAAAGTCCGGTGGGGACATTTCAACTTCACAATCGCGAATTCCAAATTCCATCTACATGATTTCACAAATTTAACTTTCACGATTTCAACTTTACAGATTCACGATTTTTATTTAATAAATTGCTACACGTTTTGAACATCACGATTTCAACTTTATCAGTTCCTCTTGTTTTGAATATCATTTTGAAATATCGTAAATATAATGATAAAGATATTTTAAAGAATTAACATGAGTTACCATAAACGCAGAATACAGAAAAGTACTATCTAATCTTCAATCGCAGTTGTTTATATTTTTATGGTGGAATTTACTTTGAACAATAGAGTACTTAATACATGAAATAAACTGAAATTTTAATTGTAAAATACGTGTCTGCAGGTGTAAAACAGATCGAATATGGGCTAAAAAGAAAAGCGAACCAAGCGATATTGAGCTAGAATACCGCGTTGCGTTGTTTTCAATATGCTTTGTCTTTTTCTTTTTGTCTGAATGCTACAGACATTGTGGCCGTATGGATGTTTTGCACGTTCTGTGCACTGACCATATTATCAGTATGCAATTGACGTGTTACTACATCCAGGAAATATTACATTGAGTTAAGGATCCTGTTACACAAATTTTAATGGTTTTGTATTATAAATATGATGTTCAAATAAATATTTGTCAATATTGTAAGTTCCAAAAAGCATTTTTATTGAGATATTACCGATTTTAACATTTAATATAAATAAAGAAAGGTATTTAGAAATTCATTTTCTATAAAATCCAATTCAAATTTGTCTGAAAGAAATGAATGCATACATTTTGATAATTACATATAATTTGTACAAATATTTGCATGACATTTTTTACATATTCTTCGATGTTAGAAAATTGATTTAGAAGCATAATTATATAATATTTAAGATTTCATTTAAGTATGTAGCCGTCCGGTTAGGTCAATAGGTACAGCGTTGGACTGTGAATCGGGCGACCCGGGTTCAATTCCCGGACGGCGCAGGTCACTGTCGTTGTGATTGATCATGAAATCCTTTCTACGGTCATTCCCACTGTACCTCTGCTCTGACAGGTACAGAAGTTTCAGGTCCTTGCGAAAGTGAAGGCAACTACTACTTGTAAACTGCTTGACAGCCTGTCCAAGAAAGATGCGGTGGTTGAACTGTGCTCTGGTGAATTCAATGTGGCTTACTGTCGTGATCCGGAGTGAAAACTACCAACACCACCAGTAGTAAAATACAGACTTCGTACATCAAAATTCCCGTTTGTTACGACTGTTCGGATCACCGTATACTAGTTATATACAGGCTGACATAATATACGGTCCCGTACATCTTCGCATTTCAAGTTTCTCGTATCCTTACCCGTATTTTAATGATATACGGAATTCCGTACACTTCCATACATCCATATTTTTTTCGCAGTGAAAGGCGAGCATATTGTGTTATTCAACGAGTTCAATAAATTTAGTACGAAATCTACACTCATTTAACATCCTCTAGATACAATAGGGTCAAAATATTCTAATGAAACTACAAAGAAATGTTAACCACTCTGAGAAACAGTGTCGAGCGCATGAACCAGATCTCTAGCTTAGAGGTCAAGGTCACGAGTGTAAGACGAGCGTTGCGTGCATAATTAAGGTCCATGTAGCCAAGGTTAAGGTCACATATAAGGGTAAAATTTCAGATAAAAATATGAAAATGTGTATTTTTACCATTTAATCATTATTTATTGAAATATTGAAACAGAAATGGTCATTATCATGACTACGGGTATAAAACATGTAATTGAGTTTAATATATGCAAGGTCAAGGTCACTAAAGATGATACAATATAGAGATTTTGTCAAGACACATATTGAGGGATTTTAATTAAACTTCATAAAAATGTTCGTCACTATAAGAAGCAATTTCAGGCGCATAAAAAAGGTTTCTATGTCAAGGTCACACTTAGAGACCATTGAACACGTTTGTCCGGGGCAAAGTTTCTACATGCATAGAGGGATTTCAAAATAACTTAGCACAAATGTTAACCGTGAGTGTCACGAGCAAAATTCAAATGCCTGTGGCCAAGGTCTAGGTCACATATAGGGGTCAAGGTAAAAAAATATTAAATATGTATTCGGACCATTTATTAATCATTTATTGAGGGATTGAAACACAACTGGTCATTATAATGACTACCATTGTGGAGCAATGTCTTAAGTGCATAATCCAGGTCTCTCCTAACAAAGTCAAGGTCACAAAAAAAGGTCACATTTGTGTGCGGAGATCCTTTTGTCATCATTTATTGATTGATTGTAACAAAAAATGACAACTTTTATGACTAAAAGTGTGAAAAAATTATGATAAAATATCCAGATATTGTCCGGATATTGCCAAGATCGAGCATATCTCCTATATGCATATCTAAAATGCCCCCATCTCTGACAAAATCTTTTGTGACGGGTGTATTTTGCGACAATGATTCTCAAATCTGAAACGTCTTGAAGCCTCGGATTTCAATTAAAAGGAAATGCTAAAGCTGCACATAGACAGGTCAACAAGATAATTCCAATTTTATGATATAGCAACTGCCTATGTAAAGTTTAGAAACTTTTGAAAAATCTCAGAGGAAACATGAACTTCTAATTGCAACTAAGACTTAGAGTACGTTTTAAACTCACATTTTATAGAGAAATAATTCAAAGACAATGTCCTCTTTTGCAAAACATTTTTTTTTAATATTACATGTCGTAACAAGTGCTTATTTGTATGTTTTTTTTAAATTTTAATTGTATTTCATTACTTGCATGTTTGTTTTATTTCAGAACTGGTTTTCTGATATATTGCTGCAATGCTAAACAGAACAATGAAATATACATGCATTTACATTTTTGAAACCATGTCAGTGTACTTACATTTATTTAAAAACATAATTCACACGAGCCTTTGCATACAAATTAAAACATCTAATCTAAAACAGGAAATTTACAACTTGGTATACGGATTTTTTTTACTTAATGCTTTTATGTATTTGTATTCAATCCAAAACAGGGCTAGCTTTCTGTTTTAATTTGTCAAACATGAACTTTCGTATGAGGAATGTAATCCATCCACAAAATGTAACAACATTTTCTATCTTAACGATGAATATAGAAAAGTTGAGAAATATTTTAATGTACCCAGTGTAATCAATGCTGACTTGTTTTTCTAACAAGACAAGACATGCTGAAATTTGAACAATTTAATGTATGTTTAGGTTGTCATTTACCTCTGATTTATTGCATAAAATATGTACTGAAAACTAAGAATTATCATTACTCATGGACTGATTAAGTCATCAGTGGCTTAGGTTTATTAGAGAAACTAATTGTATACCATGTCACTCATTTGCGAATAAAGGTATTATCTCGTAATATGACTATTTGATGCTTTATCAATAGCCACCTACTGGCGGGGGCAACGCTTGGCCTTTAACGTTTACTAAATGGGTTAAACAAGTCAATAACAATCAATAAATTCTATCTTTTTATTTCAATAGGTTTGTTTTGTCAGAGTATGAATTACTTCCGTTAAGTAAAAATAAGCGAAATTCAATCACATACGTTCAAGGCCATTTAAAAATCAAGGTCAAAATTTTTCGACATGTCTGTTTGGTCGAAAGTGTTTTTTTTGTTCACCTTGTATTTAATCCGTATATAGATAACAAAACTATGAAAAGAAAAATTTAATACTTTTACCTTGACGATCAAGGTCATATAAAGCTTAAAGTCAAAATCAGTTCATCGTTTTACGAGGTATGCTCTTAAAGGTCATTTTGTCCAAGTATAAAGATAATCTTTTGATTAATTAAGTTATAACCAGCTATTGTACTTATCAGTTAAAAGTCAATAATTTAACTTCAAGGTCAAGGTCATGATGGTATGCATACATGTATTACCTTGAAGAATGAAGTATCTTTATATGAAGTCAATCCATTCATTTTTATCCAAGTTATAGCTACTTATAGCAGAAATCAAGCAAAATATAGATATTTAACCTTCAAGGTCAAGGTCATTTATGAAGATCAAGATTATTCCAATCTACTTAAAGGTTGTGACCCAAGGGTTGTTGTGGTCAAGTATGAAGACATATAGTTGTAATCAACAGTATAGTTTGGGTGACTGCATCGGCAACGCCGATATGACATTAACAATATCTCTATTTTTCTCGAAACAAAGTCGACTTAAAATGGTATTTTAAGTTTTATGCAGTTGGTGTTTTCCTTGTTCAATCATTGAACCAAGCTTAAAATTTAACTTTTAAATACGATAATTATTTCGCATGTTTTCATAGAATAGAAATATAGAAACAACTATTTTATGTCGTAGTTACAGACGAGCGTTCTAGATGGAAGCTGTCTTCAACCCATTTGCAATAATCCTTTTCGTGCTTCGGTAATGGTTCACCTAGTATTCCAAGGACTACATCTAGACAGACTTTACGCTTTAACAGTATGGTATGTTTGGACTTATGTGAGTAACTGTGCTCTCGTCCATACTCTAGCAGACGTAAGTGTGGTAACAAGTAAGGTTTTAGAGACCATGACTTTGACAATTCAGCTAGTTTTTTGTATATTAAGGTAGTTATATCCAAAGGAGTTGTTGTTTCCGAAATGTCTAATCCCAAGTCTTCAGCCACAAAAAATGTGCAATTCTTCAGCCAGTAACTTTTTATGTCATTGGATGGATACACTCTCTGATTTTTGGCCTTTTCAAAGTTTCTGTAAACCTTTGGCAATAGAGGCCTGTCGATGTGGACAGAGGGACAAATATCAGCACTTTTTGCAATCTTTGCAAGTGCATACGCACGGCGATAAATCTCCGGTAGAGATTTCATCAGAGAAATTTCAGCAGGTGCAACTGAAACGCGTAGCATATTATTTCCGTGAGTATCCTGAGTAGTGTTTTGCGTGTTACCAACGCTGTCATTTATGATGTCATTCATGTAATACCACTCATAGTTAAAATCATTGTTCTTGGTTTGTAGTAGTAAGAAGCATCCCTCATCTTTTACGCGGTCAGAGACAAGTCTCATACTCTCTGGACAGGCTTTCTCCGGCCACCATCCTCGCCTGTAGACAGCAGGTACAAGATCTATGCTCAGAGCTATCTGTTTATACTTTGATCCTATCCAGTACATTTGAAAGTTGAACACCGGTTTTCCTGAAATAACGTGTAGTTTATCCTCGTACCTATAATAAAGATTTCCCTTTTCCCACAATTGTCTCTCGTTCAGGGCTCTCTTAATGTATCTGAAGAGGTATTTCAGAAAAGGAAGAGATTGGAAGTAGCCTTCTGAATCAGAAAATGATAAGAAACCTTCTGGAACTGGATAATCTTTGAACTGCAAAAGAGCATATACTTGATTATATGGCTCTGGTGATTTGATCACACAATATCTGCCGATTGTTTCGAGGCATAAAACGAAGTCGAATTCATCAGGGCGGCCAACCTTCGTACCTTCCACTGTACTTCCTGTAGGAAATACGGTCATTCTAAATCTAGAATCGTACTCGTTGACATATTGACAGATTTGTTCGATATGATGTCGAACTGCTGCAATTACGTCGTTGTCCTCTGCATGCTCTTCAGACGGCCTAGCAAGTGTACATGTCCGTCTGGCTTTAAGCAAATAATCGCTATATTGTTGAAAATCTTTCGGAAAATTATGCAAGTGTTCCCTTAAATTTGGATTTTCTAACAATGTTGATAAGGTTATTTCTTCTGAGGCTTTATAAAGTGGAAACCTCTCCTTATTTTCTCTTACATATAAGTATTTAGCATCGAAAATAAGTTTCATGCATTTGAAATTTCCATGGCGCTTTGCGGTTTCTATGGGTGTATCATTCATGCTATCAACTACATCTACGTTTGCACCGTATTCCAAAAGCAACTCGACTTGCTCTTCATAACCATTGTAGGCAGCAAAATGCAAAGCTGTAGATCCATAAATATCTTGAGAATCCATATCAACACCTTGATTATTTAACATTTTCTCTATTAATTTTGGCATTGGATGTAGATTTATAATACATTGAAATGGCATTCTCCCCCATCTGTTCCTTTTCATAAAATCACAATTGTGCAGTTTAAGTATTTCAAACACTTCGTCCATATGCAATTCAGAAATAGCTGCCTCACCAAAAACGTTCCTTGCATTAACGTCAAGATTATGTTTGAGCAAAGAGCAAAGTTTTGCAAAAAAACTGGCTCGAAACTTCCACAAGTCTATGGAGTATTTGTTTCCTAAATATCCGTGCATTAAAGAAGCTTTATTAATTGAGTGAAAATCGTTTTTCAGGCAATCTGTTTTTTTCTTCAAAAAAGTACTTTTGATTTCATATACAAAGCAAAGCCAGGTGGACCCAGGACGTTCTCTCTGTTGAACATGTTTGTTAAAACTGTTTCAATTTGTGTATTTGCCCGAGCGTTTGGTAAATATCCTCCTAATACTTTCAACCCGTCGCTTATGTTACTAAATATAACTTAAAGGACAATGAAAACGCACGCCCAGCACTTGCATATAATCTACATGAATACAAAACACTAACGACTCATTAGATATACTATCTAACTTCATACAAAAAGCAAATGCCACACCAGTAAATCGAAAAACTTTTGTTGAAAATCCCAAAATCACACTTTTATCATCAATGTAATGCAAGCTTAACAAAGGCAAAAAACCCAAAATGAAAATCCCAAACAAAATCACTCATAAATTAATATTCGTAATGTCACCATCGGGATATTTAGAAACGACAATGTCCTACGTCAGCGTCTCTTACAGATGTACATCGTCGCCTCATAGACTTTACGGTGCGGATAGTCGCCTGTGGAATCTGACGCCATTCGGCCTGTAGTGTAGTGGTGAAGCTGGTGAAGCCGAGAAATTGTAGACCGATGGACAGCAAAACGGTTTGCGCTTTGATAATACAAAATTTGATTGTAAGATAGACCATACTGAATCTGTCCTAACTCTACCAAGCCGTTAATTCTTTGTTGAACCATTGCATACAATTTGCTAGCAAATCTTCAGTATTGTTTGAAATTAAGCACCTTTAATAGAGGAAAAAAGTGTGTATATGCATTTTTCAATGTAAGCTTTTACGATTTCTAAAAATTACAATTGGCATAGTTTAATATTCATTTTCATTAAAAAATTTAATTGCCAATTTGTGTCTAACATTTCTAGAAAGGTGTGAAAAACAGGTTAATAATTAACAGTTTAAAAAAAATAAATAATTTCATTTCATAATGTAACCATGAATTGATTAAATCTGTTATCTGTTGTGATCTTATCACAATTAGCCAAAAGTGTTACTTTTGATTTTTCGGGTACTGTCTTTATCATTCAATAACTTCATTAAAATGCAATCATTTTTCATAACTTTGGTATCTAAATGACCGAAATGCATTCGGTTTTATGAAACTGTGAAAAAATATTTAAAAGAAATATATTTTCCTTGTTAAAATGCAATTATCCCGGCCGTGCGTTTTCATTGTCCTTAAGTATAGAATATGAAGAAAGTTCTCCTCTGACGCGTTCGTCGCTGACCATTCGATTGCAGGATAATGTAGAAGAATGTACACGACAAATCTTTCTGCACAGAGTTTAGATGCAGCAAGATGAAGGATGTTTTGCCCATTATTTGTTCTCGCATTAATGTCTGCATTTGCGTCAACAAGAAGCTGAATTCCTTCTTTCCAGCTGTCACTGATTTCATCAGTATCATAGAAGCTCTCATCCATCTCTTCTTCTGAAAATACGAGCACATGTAGAGGATTATAACCATTTGCATCTTTGATGTTGACATCTATTTCTCTTGATTTGAGTAGACATTTTATTAAGGATATGTTTCGTACACGGGTGGCAAGATGCAGTGGTGTCTGTCCCCAATAATCACGTGCATTTACATCTACTTTTTGGTGACAAAGAATCATGCGAGCGATGTTTTCGTCCTCTAATGATCTTACTACCACATGAAGAAGTGTATCTTTGTGTTCTTTGTTCTTTTGAATTAACAAGTTCGGGTTCTTTTTTAAGAGGCTTTCACATTGGTCGACATGCCCATTTTGAGCATACCTTATAAATGTGGCAATGTCATTCCTCTCATTTTCATCTGCCATTTTATGTTAATCTGTCTAATGGATATGAAAGAACAAATATTTTAAACGTCTTAAACGACATACATTCTCAATATACTTCCTTACGTTGAGTATCGAGAAGGTAGCACTGACATCGAAGATCGGAATTCAGTTTATAGATAGCTCGAAGATCGAAATTCAAAGTAAGCCAAAGTTGAATTTCGAGCCAGCTCGAAGATCGAATTTCAAAATCAGAATTTCGAGCTGGAGTTGTATTTCGAGCAAGCTCGAAGATCGAAATTAAAAATTTTCAAAACCCAAATTTCGAGCTGAAGTTGAATTTCGAGCCAGCTCGAAGATCGAAATTCAAAATTTTCAAAACCCGAATTTCGAGCTGGAGTTGAATTTCGAGCCAGCTCGAAGATCGAATTTCAAAACCAGAATTTCGAGCTGGAGTTGAATTTCGAGCATGCTCGAAGATCGAAATACAAATTTTCAGGGAGGTACACTTTGCAGACGACTTTGCAGACAAGTTAAACATAGAGGGATTTTGCCGACAAGTTTAATAAAGAAGGATTTTAGATTTTGCAGACAATATAGATTATATTGGGGGTGTTTAAACCCTTGTCAAAAGGTGTGAATGGGCAATTATGCTGTTGATCAGTTGGTAAGATGTGTAATGAAAAAGGAATAACAATGTGAAAATTAATAGCATTTTATTTAATATATCACATACAGTAGATCAATTAATATGATTATTATTTAAATAAAACAATATTCATAAAATAAGTATTTGCAAAATGGTTATGTTTCATCTTTCTTAATAATTACATGTATATACAATATAGACTATATCTAAAATAATTATTGAAAATAAGAAAAAACAAACAATAAGAATAATTTTCAATTTATAGAAAAAATTGTAAAAAATATTCCAATCTCATATTTTATATAATACACAATTAATTAAAGCTTGTACTAACGCATAAATTTTTCAAATTTGAAGTCTTTAATTAAAACATTTTAAACAATTCATTAAAATTACATTTATCTACTCAGTGAAAGACATGTTAATGTATATATCTATATTTATATAAAGACAGATGCAGGCAGACTTTGCAGACAAGTAAAACAGAGTAGGATTTTGGAGACAATATAGACAAAGAAGGAACTTGCAGACAATAAACATAAAGAAGGCCTTACACTTTGTAGACATTATAAATTGTATAGAGTGTTGAAACTTAATCAATTTATCTATAATAAGATTTAAGTTTTGATAAAATAAGTTTTTAAATTGTTATTTAGGTATAATATCATGTTATATACAACTCTATAAATTTGCTCATTTAATTTTTTCAAAGCTTTTTTTTTCAATCTTTAGCAATAGTTCTTTACATATTAAAAACATGAGAAAAAAAATAAAATGAGTCTGAGATGTATTAAAACATAACATAAGTAATTAATGAATAATACTGGGTAATATTACTACAAATATCATTGACATTCAAGATATTTTAACCAAGATATCACATAGATAAACAATTTGAATATACAACATGTATTGACACTTTGAAATAACAATAAACACTGATACAGATCATTTATTACTAATTGGTTCACACCTTTTAATCATTGAATGCCATTAACAATACACAGGACAAAGGGTCATACAAAAACTGAAATGCTATAAATCATTTTATTTTCTGTTCTATATCTAACTTGTCTGCAAAATCCTTCTTATTTTAACTTGTCTGCAAAATTCAAAATTAATTCTGTCTGCAAAATACAAATTTCTCTATTATTCCCCTATCATTTTATACTCTGTTCTATATCTAACTTGTCTACAAAATCCTTCTTATTTTAACTTGGCTGCAAAATTCAACATTAATTCTGTCTGCAAAATACAGATTTTTCTAATATTCCCCTATTATGTTTTATTCTGTTCTATATCTAGCTTGGCTGCAAAATCCTTCTTATTTTAACTTGTCTGCAAAATTCAACATTAATTCTGTCTGCAAAATACAGATTTTCCTTATGTTTCCCTATCATTTATATTCTGATCTATATCTAGCTTGTCTGCAAAATTCTTCTTATTATATTCTGATCTATATCTAGCTTGTCTGCAAAATTCTTCTTATTTTAACTTGTCTGCAAAATTCAACATTAATCCTGTCTGTAAAATACAGATTTTTCTAATATTCCCCTTTCATTTTATATTTTTTTCTATATCTAACTTGTCTGCAAAATCCTTCTTATTTTAACGTGTCTGCAAAATCCAACCTCTATCCTGTCTATACTTTATGTCTACTAGTAACTTAAAAAAGTTAATTAATATTGTTTGTTTGTTATAATCATTATATTCTGTCTCATGTTATTGCTTAGTTTTTATGCCCCACAAAGGGGGGAGCATATAGCGTTGCACTTGTCCGTCCGTACAAACTAGAGCTACATTATGCGGTTTGGTCTATTGTTCTCATAACAATAGATGTCTTTGATGTCATTCATTCCATTTCTCTTGTGGGGTTATTTTCTGCATTGTGGGGTTAAAAAGAACAAAATAAATAACAAAAGAAAACCCCATAATGTAGCTCTGGTAAGAATGTCTGTCCGTACGTCTGTCCGTCTGTACGTCTGTCCGTAGGTCTTTCCGTACGTCCCGAATTCTTGTGAACGCAACTTCTCTTTAACCGGAATGCAAATTTTGCTTAAACTTCCAGGGATGAACAATCTTAATGCGTAGATGGTAGTAGAGGAAGGAACTTTCGCTGCGACCAAATTTAACAGAATTGTGGCCCATTGTTGATTTTTTCACTATATACTATGTAAAAATTTTGTGAACGCAACTCCTCTTAAACTGGATGGCAGATTTTGCTTAAACTTCCAGGGATGAACAACCTTAATGTGTAGATGGTAGTTAAGGAAGGAATTTTTGCTGCGACCAAATTTAACAGAATTATGGCCTTTGTTAATTTTTTCACTATATACCATATAGACATTTTGTGAACGCAATTCCTCTTAAAACGGATGGCATATTTTGCTCTTTTACGACTTTAATCTTTATTTTCAAACTTTTATTTTTACTATTAAGCACTAAGAGTATTCAAGCATGATGTACATTTGACAGCCCTTGTATAAAATATCTTATTTTGAAATGAATCGACAACATTAATAATATACAGGACTCCTAAATTCCTTTGCAACTGCAGAATAAAAAGTTCCACATAAAACTCGTACATACAGATATGCATGCTCTTGTTTACGAGCACATCTGCACAGTGGGGGCATCCGTGTCATTTGGACACAGTTCTAGTTTTAAATCATATTCTTATATTAAAAAAAAAAGCATAAATTATTCTAAAAAGCAACAACTATTTTTCAGATAATAACGTTTTGCAAATAATTATAGATCTTTCTAGATGGCATTAAATCAATATAATTGCCCATTCACACCTTTTGACAAAGCATTAAACACCCCCTATATAATCTATATTGTCTGCAAAATCTAAAATCCTTCTTTATTTAACTTGTCTGCAAAATCTCTCTATGCAAAGTCGTCTGCAAAGTATACCGACCAAAATTTTCAAAACCCGAATTTCGAGCTGGAGCTGAATTTCGAGCCAGCTCGAAAATGGAAAGACAAAATTTTCAAATCCCGAATTTAAATCTGGAGTTGAATTTCGAGCCAGCTCGATGATCGAAATTCAAACTTTTCAAAACCCAAATTTCGAGCTGGAGTTGAATTTCGAACCAGCTCGAAGATCGAAATTTCTTGAATTTCGATCTTCGAGCTGGCTAGAAATTTAACTCCAGCTCGAAATTCAGCTTTGGTTTACGTTGAATTTCGATCTTCTAGCTGGCTCAAATTCAACTCCAGCTCGAAATTCGGGCTTTGAAAATTTTGAATTTCGATCTTCGAGCTAGCTCGAAATTCAACTACAGCTCGAAATTTGCGTTTTTGAAAATTTTGAATTCTGATCTTCGGGCTGGCTCGAATTCAACCTCAGCTCGAAATTCAGCTTTGGTTTACTTTGAATTTCGATCTTCGAGCTGGTTCGAAATTCAACTCCAGCTCGAAATTCGGGTTTTGAACATTTTGAATTTCGATCTTCGAGCTGGCTCGAAATTCAACTTCAGCACGAAATTCGGGTTCTTGAAAATTTTGAATTTCGATCTGCGAGCCGGCTCGAATTCAACTCTAGCTCGAAATTCGGGTTGTGAATATTGTGAATTTCGATCTTCGAGCTGGCTCGAAATTCAACTCCAGCTCGAAATTTGGGCTTTGAAAATTTTGAATTTCGATCTCCGAGCTGGCTCGAAATTCAACTCCAGCTCGAAATTCGGGTTTTGAACATTTTGAATTTCGATCTTCGAGCTGGCTCGAAATTCAACTTCAGCACGAAATTCGGGTTCTTGAAAATTTTGAATTTCGATCTGCGAGACGGCTCGAATTCAACTCCAGCTCGAAATTCGGGTTGTGAATATTGTGAATTTCGATCTTCGAGCTGGCTCGAAATTCAACTCCAGCTCGAAATTTGGGCTTTGAAAATTTTGAATTTCGATCTCCGAGCTGGCTCGAAATTCAACTCAAGCTCGAAATTCGGGTTTTGAAAATTTTGAATTTTGATCTTCGAGCTGATCCAGCTCGAAATTCAGCTTTGGTTTACTTTGAATTTCGATCTTCGAGCTCGCTCAAAATTCAACTCCAGCTCGAAATTCGGGTTTTGAAAATTTTGAATTCCGATCTTCGAGCTGGCTCGAAATTCAACTGCAGCTCGAAATTCGCGTTTTTGAAATTTTGAATTTCGATCTTCGAGCTGACTCGAAATTCAACTCAAGCTCGAAATTCAGGTTTGGATTACATTGAATTTCGATCTTCGAGCTCGCTCGAAATTCAACTCCAGCTCGAAATTCGGGTTTTGAAAATTTTGAAATTCGATCTTCGAGCTTGCTCCAAATTCAACTCCAGCTCGAAATTCGGGTTGTGTAGATTTTGAATTTCGATCTTCGAGCTGGCTCGAAATTCAACATAAGCACGAAATTCGGGTTCTTGTAAATTTTGAATTTCGATCTTCGAGCTCGCTCGAAATTCAACTCCAGCCCAAAATTCGGGTTGTGTAGATTTTGAATTTCGATCTTCGAGCTGGCTCGAAATTCATCTCCAGCTCAAAATTCGGGATTTGACAACTTTGTATTTCGATCCTCGAGCTGGCTCGAAATTCAAATCCAGCTCGAAATTTGGGTTCGAAAATCAACTCCAGCTCGAAATTCGGGTTCTTGAAAATTTTGAATTTCTATCTTCGAGCTGGCTCGAAATTCAACTCCAGCTCGATATTTACTTTAAACTGAATTTTTATCTTCGATGTCAGTGCTAACTTCTCGATACTCTTACGTTGTCAAGTTTCTAATTTTTAGATGAAAGAAATACAGTTGAAATATGAATTTCCGTCTAAGATAAAACAAAACATAAGTATTTTTTAAATTTGCCAATACATTTAACGGTATTTATGCATGTTAAAAGTTGAAAATCTACTTACAGGAATTAAGTCTTTCTAAAGAGATTAAAAAATAATTATTTCAACTACTCTCCTAAAACATTAACATACATGTTCACGGTCATAACATTTGCATTGATTCCACGAGATAACTGTAACCTTACACTTTCACTTGACACAGATAGAAACACGACTATCATAATATCTGTTATCATGTAGCGATTAGGACGGTTTGTTTCTGGTAGAACGTACTTTATAAATGTCAGCTTTAAATCAGATAACAAAGGTATATTTTTCTTTCTTTTCTTTTGACAGACATGATTTTCTATGATATATTGTGCAGCAATCGATTGTAGGATACAAAAAAACTAGCCCTATAACTGCATTCCATCGTCTTATCGACTTCTTCACAAGTTCCTTTAGCAAAACGCGCAGCGATTTTGAAGCGCTATATAAACCGTCGTAATTTACTACAAAAACACTTTTTTGAGTCAACAGATATACAGACAGTTAATTTAAACATTTTTGCATCAATGTGCAGCAAAATAAATAAATGACTCACCTTCGTATGTAAATAAATCCAATCCAATACAATCTATACCACTATCACCGCTATATACATTCGGCCATGTTACCTGTATACATGTGGTTAATACAAATTTCGGTTCACTGTAGACGAAATTAATTTCCCTGCGTATTTGTCTCTTGATAATTGGATTATAAAGCAATGTCCTAGTCGATTTTTTTTTTCATTTGTGTGTTTACTCAGACATTTAAGCATTGTGATAGGAATATTATAAATGTTATATTGTTTGAAATTTGCAAACAAAAGTTATTTATTTGGTTCTTTTTTTTTCCTTGAATTTGTTGGAAAGTTTTGCATTTATGGTTTTGCAGACAATTTTCATTCAATGTTGAATATCTATACAATATAAATAATGTTTTATTTGCCGAACAGTTCATAATTATTACAAATCGTTCTGTTCCACTGAACAAAGACTGAAACTTAAAGACGGGTAACAAGCGACTTATGGCCATCTTGTTGAAACATCACGATATATAATCAACCATTGAGCGAGACAATTCTCATTCAAAGGTGATAAGGCATTTTAACATTGATGGTTCAAGAACGCTTCCGCACTTCTCCGTTGCCTTCGTGGTACAAGGACACTTTGTGAAGCACACAGAACAGCAGTTGCAGGCTTCACAATGACATGGCTTGTCTTCACAGTCTTTACACGCTGAATTAAAGATAACTTCTTTATCGAACAAAGAAAGCTAATGCAATATAAGTTCTCGTAAACATTTACATTTTCATTTTTCACAATTTGTTTTTTTATGTTTTTTTCCGTCGTTTTGGAAGCTGCAGTGGAATTATCATACAATATCAAACTGTAACCTTGTCTGCCATCTCTAGCACACCTACCTGCCTCTTACCAGTAAGATATTACAGATTTTGGACAACCGATGTGCACGATTAATTCAACATCTTTAATATCAAGCCCCATACCAAGAGCAACAGTTGCAATGATGCAACGTATATTACTGTCAGGCTTTTTAAACTCGTCTAGAATTCTACCCTTTGAAGATTCTTGGGTACATTTATGAAACATTTCAACTATTACATTGCTAGATTTTTCGTCCTGATTAACGTAAGCAATTTTTCCGCAAAGAATGTTTGATTGTTATAAAAATGTTAGAAACAGAGCCAATTGAGCGACAATATTAATCTTTTTTTTTGCTGATTTCCCATTACATTTTAGATAATTAATTATCCAGTCAAGTTCCTCCGAATAATCAAATGACTTTTTTTCTTACAGTCAAGGTATATGTTAGGACTATTACAGGATTTATAGATTGTTTCCGTGGTTTCATTGTGTAGCTGAAGAGTGCTCATTATATCATTTTTAATATGATCTGTGCTCGTGGCAGTTAGTGCCATAACAGGGACTTAAAAAAACTGCGAAGTTGAGCCATTTCTTTGTATTCCGGCCTAAATTCCTTCCCCCATTCAGAAATACAATGGGCCTCGTCAAATACTAGTAATGTCATTTTACGTTGCCATACTTCAGTCAAGAACATACATCGCCACTTCGGTTTCAGCGCGGATTCTGGTGAAGCAAACACAAAATGATACTCTCCTGATTTCAAATCTGTATTGTATAAGTTTAATGTAAAATATGTTAATATCATTGAAGAGAAATAACGTTAAAGATTCATCATTAATTATTTGTAATTTCTTCTCTTCTTCATATTACCATGTCAGCATATTATAATATTTATCTTTTTTACAACGAGAACTTACGTGTCTTAAAACAATACATAATACGTTACAATTATTAATTGTAAGTTCAAAAAATTATTAAAATTGAATAAATTTTACTGGAAAAAAAAGAATAACTAAAAGGTCAAGCAACATTACAGATCCTAATTAAGGGTAGGCGTCATAAGCAGACGACCGACGTCGTTGTATGAATTTAAACAGATCAATACAATACCTTCCTCAATGGAACAGTCTCCAAAACGCGCAACTTTAAAATTCCATTCCCGAAAAGTTTTCATTTGGTCTTCCATCAAAGATATAAGAGGGGAGATGACAAGTGTTATTGAAGGATGGTCATGCACTTTAGAATTAATAACATAACGGGAGTCTTCCCGAAAACAGTTGGAAGGAAGCACAAACAATTCTTCCCATTTGCAATAGCTAGGGCAGCCAAAGCTTGCTCTTCCTTTGAAACGAGCAGTATGCGTATGTGTGTGAAATGCGATGTATCGGAAAAGTTCGGGAAATATATTGTACAACTAGTGCTATTTGCGTTTATTTAATTTTACTACTTTGCAGGTTTTGTCTTTACTGACTGTTCATCATGTTCATTTAACTTACAGTAAATATATATATTAACAGATAATGTTTGTCATGTATGTCATTAAATGTCTTTGAAAGAAAATCCAAAACCTTAAATGAAAAAAAAATGGCTACACAAATATAATGCGTTGTACATTACTCGACCAAGAGCATCTATATATATGAACATTGCGTTTGTGTGTCGAATGTCACAAGTTCCATAGTTCATGTTTGATGTTTTAAGAATTAATATAGAAATCATCGCATTTAAATATTTATAAAATGAATAGATGCAGCAATTGTGATTGCGAGTTCAAAAAACGAACGGGTGGATACTATAGGTATTCCCTTGAAAGACTTGTTGATGAATACCAGACAGCACGTGAACATCTTTCAGATTTAACTGGTGCTTTTTTTACCCCAGCAAAGAAAGCCACACAATTCCTGTGTTCAGAATGTTGGAGTAAGCTCAATGAGTCTGCTAAATATAGGTCTTCTGTGGAATCGTTATTTAAAGTCACCAGCGACAAGTCGTATGTGGCTCGTAAGAGGGAGAGAGTTGAACAGACATCAACCAGTTTTATAAAGCGTCCACGGTTTACCAGTACTCCTAGGAAGGTATGGTGTTTTAAATATTGGTATACATGTAATAAACAGGTTAATTAATACGATCAGGTGTTCATGCCTTTGAATGCTACTGTGATTACAGCCCTAAGTATCAAACAACTTGGCCATTATCAGTCAGGATTACTTTACTTTTACAGTGATAATTACTGTAATGAAACAGTAAGAAACTAGTTATACGTATGTTATGCTGTTAATTTGTAATAATTATGTGTAACAGACTTTTTCATAAACAAACAGAACTTTGCTCAATTTTATATAAAGAAATAAAAATAATACTGATTTTACAATTGAGGTATTTTTTTCTTGTACAAAAGTTGGCTTTTTTGGAGATCTCATCATGAAAAATTAGTATTATATTTTACTAAGTGAAACAAGTTTCTTGTTTTAAATGTAGCTGATTTTTACCTTCAGATATCTGCAGAATCTATGACAAGGACACGCAAGACTGGGAAATGGGATTCTATAGTAACAGCCGTTCGGGCTCGTCAATACTCGCGCGCAATATACGGGTTGTATAATGCAACAAAGGGTAGCAAAGATCAATTTGCGGAAGTTGTAATTCGCATTGTTAGAAAAGAAATCGACTCACTGATTAGAAAGCGCGACAACTTTCCGCTGTGTAGAGACGTAAATATTCCCTCTATAACAGATTTTTCTTGGAATAAAACATTAGAAATGACATCAAATAATGCTCCTATTCTTTTCCATTGTCTCAAGGGTGCAGTTACTAAAAAAGCAACGAAGTTACTCTCCTTCGTCATGGAAAAACTAACCTAAAACCTCATATCGGTTCCATATTGGCACTAATGTTAAGTTCAAGAGAGCCACGAAAATGTATTTTTTTTCCAATATCAATGTCAGTACAGTTTTGGCGGGTAGGTTTAAAACCAATTTCCAAATTAGGGCTATGCACGGGTTACGACGCCACCCTTACTGCAATCGATAAGATCCGACAGGAGTTTGATTCCGCTGCTATCAAATGTAAAGAAGATACATGCCTTGGATAAAATTCCTAGGCTAGACTTAGACTTTTCTTCAGATTTGTCACTGTCTGTCCCTAACATTGAGGATGAGATTGTTGAATACGATTAACTTGATGAAACAGTACTGTATTCAGAATGCGACAATACCAATATTTCATCTTTTCCTCACTCTACGCCAAGTCAATGCAATGAAAGTAGTTCTTCGTCGCAAACATCCGACAGTGACATAGCTAGCGATTTTGAGGTAATCGAAGGTAATATTTCATCCTCTAGTGAGGGTTCTGAGTGAGGATGAACAAGACATACGTCCAGAGGCATCAATGGAAGAGGATATACTTGATGAACTTGGTGCAGATGATTCCATTGTTGCCCCCCGTATTTCTTCAGTTGAACCTACCGGATATACGATGTGTTGGGATAACGTTGGCAAAAAAGTTGTTACTCGTCACACGACTGAATCTTTTAAGAACAAATATATCAACATGGTTTTAGGTTATATGGCTTTAAATCGGATTTTTTCATTAAATTTAAGCTGGGATGAAAATGTTACAAAAAAGTTTCTGATATCCCTTGTTTTATTCCCCAAACGTCCGACTTAACTAATTTACGTGAAATAATTACGCGTTATTGTAGGTCGAGTCATTTGCCGGCAAATTCATTGGTTTCGTGAACACTTTTCTAATGTAACAATACCGCATATTGTCCATAAATACACGGCCGAATCGACAGGTAAAAGCATTTTAATCAACCTTGGTGTTTTTGATGAAGGTCCTTGTTCAACTCAAGGTGCAATTGGAATATATGAAAGGTTACAAAAGTATATTCCATTTGTTAACGGAAAACCAGTTAAAACTGTTGTTTTCGGTGACGGTCTAAGCTGTGAGCGGGGCAATGATGCACAACGTGCAAGAAGTAATGGTGTTACGCCAGAAGAGAGGTTAGATGGTCTGGAACCTGCCGCACAAGAATTTCATAAGGAAATGTTGCTATTACAAGATTTCTTTGATGTTTTCTTCAAAGGATCGAGTTCTTGTGACAGAGGCACGCTATGTTAGATAAAAACTCTATTGAATTTCAGACGGGTCAAGTCAGACATAGGGGGCAACTTTTCTCATGCTTGGGAATTAATGTGTACTGTTGTTGAAAGTTTCATTTGTATTCTTTTAATCAAAACAGTACAAATGCCAAAT